ATTAATCATGTACACTAAATGGAGTCTCCAGATTCAAAGGAAGAGTACCTCAAAGTACAATGAGGGAGGGTATTGTATTCATGCTTTGCACAAATCTTAATCTAAAATACTTCCATATGAGAAACTGCACAAGTCCTGCACATAAAACTTTACATGTGAAAACAGCATTAAATGTGAGGAAAAGCTACAATTCATGACAACCTACTAATGTGTCAACAACTTTCTACTATAGGCACAGGGCACTATTACATGCATACATAGATTCATCAAGGTGTTTCAGTCCAGACAACAGGAAGAGATTGCTCTATTACAGAGACAAAGTACATGTGATGCAAAAGATACTGATGGCATATTTTATTTTTTTGCTAAAAGTGCATATGAACGAGGGTATTTGACATCTAGATCAGGGAGGGCAAGATGTATAGGGCAAAACATACAGGTGCAATCAGAGAAATGGGGTTTCAGGGGGGAAAATGAACTGGAAAATTCAATCTCATTGTCTAGCCTGCAAATTAGGGTAATTTGCAGGTTAACTTACATCTGAAAACTTTCAGTTAGCATGGGGGGAGGGAGAGTAGAATTTGGTGCCCTACAGAGTTCTAATTTAGTATGGCTGTTTTATTTGTATTTAATGCACTAAGCTAAAAACTTTGAAAGTGCTTACCTTGTCTAAAACTATTTGAAATTTGTTTCTACACATCCATACTTAGTTTCCACAGAAAATAAAGCTACAAAATGTTCTGCCCCACATGACTGGGTGCAGTTTGTGCTCATATTCCACTCCACGGGGAAAGTATTGTTGGGGTTCTAGTATACTAGCTATTGCATAGCATTTTAGAGCACCAAAGGTAATAAGGCCACCAAGACCCCAGATCCTTTTCACATGTACTGCTAGTAAGCCAGGTGCCCCCCCCATCCTATATCTGTGCATCTGGTTCTTCTTGCCTAAGTGCAGAACCTTACATTTGCCCCTACTGAAATTCATTTTGTTAGCTTGTGCCCAGTTCTTCAATCTGTTAAGGTCATTTTGAATTCTGATTTTGTCTTCTGCAGCATTAGCTACCCCTCCCAGTTTGGTGTCATCTGTAAATTTGATTAGCATCCCCTCAATTTCTTCATCCAAGTCATTTATAAAGACATTAAACAACAACAGGCCCAAGACAGAACCCTGTGGCACCCCACTTGTTACTTTTTTCCAGGGTGACAAGGAACCATTAATGAGTACTCTTTGGGTTCAGTCAGTCAACCAGCTACAAATCCACCTAACATTTACATTGTTCAACCCACATTTTAGCAGCTTCCTTGTGAGAATATCATGGCAGACTTTGTCAAAAGCCTTACTGAAATCAGGATACACTATGTCCACAACATTTCCATGATCTACCAAGTTTGTAATTCCATCAAAAAAAGAAATCAGATCAGTCTAGCATGACTTATTTGTGAGAAACCCGAGCTGGGGCTTAGTAATCACAGCATCCCTTTCTAAATGCTCACAGACCAACAGTTGAATTATCTGTTCTAGGATCTTCCCTGGTATCGATGTCAAGCTCACCGGTTGGTATTTCCTGGGTCATCCCTTTCCCCCTTTTTGAAGATGGGGACAATATTTGCCTGCCTCCAGTCTGCAGGGTCCTCATCTGCTCTCCAAGAATTCTCAAAGATAATAGACAAGGGCTCTTAAAATACACCTGCAAGCTCCTTTAGTACCCTTGGATGCAGTTCATCAGGCCCTGGAGATTTGAATTCATTTAAAGTAGCCTGGTGTTCCCTTACTGCCTCTTTTCCTATTCTGGGCTGCAGCTCCCTCCTTATATCATTTATTCTGTTATTACCAGATTGGGCATTGCTTTCCTTTTGGGTGAATATGAAATAAAAGCCTTATTTACCTCGAGATCACACAGTGTTTGTTGGGAAAAGATCTTGCAATTTTGCTTTTAATAGCAGAAGCCAATAAGCCAGTAGGATGGCATGAATAATCATGTCATATAACAAAGGCAGAGAATTACCGGTAGCTGGAAGATAGCACTGTATAGGTGCCCGTGTAGATCATCCATACTTAACACAGCCAAGATGCAATGAGGAATAATCACAATCATAGAACATGCTCAGAGGAATAACTGAACTGTTATGGTGTTGTCTCAACTACAATAGCTGCCAATCTCTCCACTCATAAAATGTGCAAAAGCCATTTGCTATTCCAGAAGTGTGCGAAACAACAATCCTATTGTCTTATACTTGTTTTATCTGCTTGCTTACAATTCATAAACAATTTCATGCTATACAGAACAAAATGATCCTAACTACTATCAACTTCACAGATTAAAGTTTATTAACTTTTTTATATAAAAAAGTAGACTTGACATGAATACTACAAGGTCAGAATGAGAATGTCTGTAGCTCATGCTGCTCCTCTTCTTTTTAATTCACATGCTTTAATGTTACAGCCTGGGAGAGCTTAGCTTCAATATGATAAAGTTAGTTTCAAAAACTGTATAAAATGGTGCAAGGGTGGAGTCAAACATGCATCCTTTGTTACCATGGATGTCGCAACACATTTATGAAATCTACTACACACAGCACTAAGAAGTGTATAAGGAATAAATTCATGTTTTCCCAATAGCAAAGTATTGTGTTTTCAGTGCTAGGAAAATTCAATTCCTTCTCAACAAGACTTCCTTGAAAGTGATCTCCAGATTTCTCATAGTAATGGAAATGCCACTGCACATTAATAAATGAAAGATAATGGTCATACTGACTACTAACCTCACTGTTAAGATTAAGGTATTTTTCGTACTTTGAGAATACTTTCAAATGGAGGAAGAGTAGAGGAAAGACTCTGTTGATATATGGGGCACTGGCTTAGCAGTATAGTAAGCAGTATTAACAGTCAAGGCAAAATAGAATAAGACCTCCTATTCCTGAATGACAACTCCACCCAATTACCAGTACACAATATCCAAGTTGCTTCTCAACACAGCAATATTAACCATAACACTTTTTTTATTAAAAAAAAATACAGTGTGTGTGGAACAATTTTCAATTTGCATTCCCAAAACCGTAAGCAATATAAACTCTGGGACTTTATCAAAAAAATATTTTAAAGCCACTAAATTCTGTACAAGTACACGTGTATCACTCACACAGATACCTCAAATTTCTGTGCCACTCAAACATCTACAAATGCATCAAGAAAAGCTGGCCCAACAATAGTATTATGAAGTTTCAGAGCTTAATACCTAACACATGCAAAAACTAAGTGTTGAATGAAAGATGATTTTCAAGATAGGACACACAGATTTATACAAAGCCATCTGCTGCAGTTAAATCCAGTTACTTCAACATCATTTCTACACAATTCTGCCCTGCAGGATGCAAGCTTCCAGCCTAAATGGGGAGCACAAAACTATGCCCACTAAAGGCCTACTCAATGTCGAATGAAAGTGTTGCCTCCTGTATCTTTGATCTGAGGCGATCTACATTGAAATTCCATTTTCAACACAACATGGTTGATTTATAGTTTGTGATCTTCTACACAGATTGTTTTCTCATTACTGTCTAGGCAAGCCACTCCACTGTTATCTATTAAGATTTTTTTTATGTGCAATATACTTTAACACTGCTCTGGATAACATCTTATTGAACTCTAATCCTAGCCTTGGTTGCAACATCTGCTAGTGTACACAACATCAACAGCACCAGACTCTTGGGGCCCAGGGAACATTTTTTCACCTGTGTTGGGAGTGTCTGATTGTAAAAAAAAGTCATGGCATAATGTGTTTCATTAGTTTTCCATTATCTTCAAAACTTCTATTAAAATAACTCTACAAGGTTGGCTTTTAAATATATGGCACAACCAAACTCGACAACTGCACCCCAAAGAACTTACAACATGGCTGCTGGTACCACCTAGGATTATCCATGTTGCAAAAATTGAAGACAATAGGATCTGCAAATTTCTTTATGGTATAACAATGCATGGAACTTGATAACCAGAGAAATGATAATGTACAATGTAAAGTCCCCAAAGCTCTCAAACACCCAGAACATACTTTACTTTATGGTGGGACTATATTACTCATACTAATACAAATAATTTTCATTAATAAGTCCATATGCCATGCTTTGAAGAAAAGCATGACATATGGACTTATTAATAGTTGTTCTTTGATATGTGTCTACATCACTCATGTACTCATTGAAAGAAGTGATAATACAACACATTTTCTTTGATATTTCGGCTATTGCCTTGTTTTGTAGTTTATGCAAAACTGGAAAAAACTCCCCCCCCCCCCGATTCTCTTAGTACCAAGTTGCTCATTTCAGTGGTATGAAATGCAGGGAAAACTGACAAGGAAACCAGAGTTAATTTACAAGGGAAATCATATGACAAAAGTATAAAAAAGAGAATACTTGCATTCCAAATCTAAATATTTGCAGTGCCACGTTTGCAATTCCAGCAGAAAGTCATTGCTATACCAATGCAGTATCAAGATCCGCAATGCTAAGTATTCCACCGTACTGACTGATGACCTTCATAGCAAGTTTCAGGGTGCAAAACATTGCTCTGACAATATACAGTGGACCTTCGGGTTACGTGACCTTCAGGTAACGTAACTTTCGGGTTGCAAACGTGGCCAACCCGAAAGTGTATACTTCCGGGTTTCATCACGTGCGCATGCGCAGTACCGCTCTACCACGCCGCGTGCGTGCGCAGAAGCGGACTTTCTGGGGTACGTACGAATTAAGTTTCATACCAGAACAAATTAAGTTTGTATCTGGAGGCTCCACTGTATAAACGTTACAAAAGTTGCATGCTTAAGGAAGTATTCAGTTTTATCTCATTCAATATCTACAGAGAGAACTAAACAACACAAGCTATATATTAAGGAGATGTAACTGTAGTCAGAAAGTACATTTTCAGCCATCTTACTTATTTAAAAAACAGTATGTTGGCAAAAGTTGAACAACATCAAAAGGCTGTGGTTACATACCATTCTTACCTGTAAGGGTAAGAGCGTGTTACTGTTGCTGTCTGTTCGGAAAACATTATCTTCAATCCATGATTTAGGAGTCAGCGATGGAGTAGAACGAGTAAACTTGGGAGGAGCTATGACGTTACCAGAAAACGGCTTCTTTAAGGGAGAGATCTGGTTCATAGTTCCTGGAATTCCCATGTTTCCAGTTCTACGATGGTCTCTACCATGCACACTTCCCCAAGACATATTTCCTGTGCTCCAGCCAGTACTCTGATGGTTGCTCCAGGGTGATGTCTTCAGAAGAGGCTGAGGAGGGGAGGCGAAGAAGGAGAAATACTAAAGTTATTTGAAAATATTTCTGATCAATTTCTTTAAAAGTATTGGTAACACAGCCTAATCCTATGCATGACTGCTCAGAAATTATTTCTGCTGAATTCAGAATTCCGCTTACTCCCAAATAAGCTTAATACTACAATATTATTAAAGCCAAATTGACTTTTTCTGGATCAGGGCAACAGGAGAAACACAAAACATAGTTTTTAGTTTTTTTAAACCTAGCATATACAGTCATACCTCAGGTTAAAGTAGCTTCGGGATGAGTATTTTTGGGTTGTGCGCTGCGGTGACCCGGAAGTAGCGGAGCGCGTTACTTCCGGGTTTCGCCACTCGCGCTCGAAATGATGTCACACGCATGCGCGGAAGCAGTGAATTGCGGCCCGTGCACACGCGGACATGGGTTGCATTCGCTTCAGGATGCGAACGGGGCTCTGGAACGGATCCCGTTCGCATCCAGTGGTACCACTGTACGTAGTAGTGACATGAGAATGACAGGTTTCATACACACACACACACACACACACACACACACGCGTAATAATAAGTATTTATCCCTATTTCAATAACACTATCTTCCTATATACATTTATTTTGATAAGTGAGGTGATTCTCTCAGGATTACAGAAGTATGCAAGGCTTAAAGTGCAACTCAAAATTAAGTCTGTGTTCAATGGGGCTTGCCCCCCAGGTGATCAAAGTACTGTATAAGACTGCACCTTTAATGTCCCACAGATATTTGCCAGCTCAACTGTCCATAATACTTATGTGTACTCAGCTCTTTATCTTTCAGACTGTTGATGTGACATAAATAACTGTTACAATTTTCAAAGGTTTTCTGACTAGTCACCTGGAAAAGATTCTTATTTATCACAGCTGATTGGGTGAGTTGCTATTTACAAGCTTAAGGTAGCTATATTTGGGGTTTTTTATGAAACAGCTAAAGCTAGGCCATAAAGCATCATCATATACAATAAAAGCATAAGAAGTTGATGACTTAAGAAGTAAGTAAAAGCATAGTAGCCCTAGGAAAGGTAGAGGGATGGTCCAGGTTGAGGGAGGGGGAAGAGATGTTGTACAGAATAACCATTCAAAATTCCTTCTTTAGCTTTTGGTACAATATTTTATGTCAAGTGATATGACGGAAAAGCTTTTCAATGACACTGATACGGGAACAGCTATAGCTGTGCAATGTGTCAACCTCCAATGTTAATAATTTAACTCTTGGCTTAAAAAAAACCAACCCCATACATTCAAAAAGAATTTGGGAGGGGCAACTTATAGTACTGCAACAACTATGGGGTTACTATTCCCATTAGCCCCAGTCACCATGGCCAATCGTCAGGGATGATGGGAGCTAGTATCTCACAGGAACAGTCACGATATAATTATTTCAAAGTGAAATATTTTCAAGACTGTTGTGATACATCCTGGTGAAGAAGATATATAAACCATTTGGGTAGGATAATTAAGCAGACACTAAAGTCCTATATAATTGCAGATAGACATGATCAGTCTTGAATGTCTTATGCTGCAATTTTTAGGAGAAATGTGCATCATACTGTAAAACTAACAGGGAAGGTAACAGGATTTTCATCTTTACAGCTAGTCTGATGCCCACCAAGTACTACTATTTATAAAGCTTAAAGCACAAAAGGCAGAAGAGATTTCATTTGCTTTGTGAAAAACTTAGAAATTGTTTCTGTAATTCTTAGCTTGTCCAACAATAGACTGAATAGTGAATATCAAAGGTACTTTAAAAAAATCTTATTTTAGTTTCTCCATTAAATACAACTTATAATTCTTTTTTGTTTTGTCATTGTAGGTCTTTATTACAGAAACACAGTTGGTTACACAAACAATCATAATTAGATTCTACACCATCATGGGTGACATTTGATCTCAATCTACTTTTGACCTGCTAGGCAGCCGCTTACTCTCTCAGCCATCTGTAAAATGGGAGCAGCAGCAATCTACTAGGCCAGCTTCTTCCAAGAAGAAGCAAGAGGCCTTTAACATTAAAGAGCTTTAAATGAATCAATAAAAAGATTAGAAGGAAAATGTTTAATACTAAGCATAAATGTACAATACTAGAGCACAAACAAAATGCAGCACATTACCCGATGAACAAGGAAGTTTAAAGCTAGTCTGTTATAGAAAACATGAAACTGTAAACTTATATTACTGTGAGTATGCAGAGCTCATTGAAAGAAGAAAGCTTCCAACCAATGGGAGAAAAGGTTTTCAGCCCACCCATAAGGTAGCAGTAAGTGCTGCATGCGAAAAGACTGGGACAACCTGAAATACCACACTGAAACTTTTCTTGGCATCTACAGCTGCTTATGCAAGCTGCTTAGCACATAGCTCAGTGTTGCAAAATAAAACGTAAGCGGAAATTTGTGTACAGACCTATTCACAACCTGGATAAATCAAGATACTCAGTTTAAGCTGCTTTAGGCCAATTTATGGGTGTGCGGATTGGAATGCCAGATTTTGGAATACCACTTATGGTTGTTGGTTTACATATATGTATAACTCATTTAAACAAAAAACAGCCACTATAAACTAATAAACTTGTCTGAAACAGATGTTCAAAACTGCCCTGTTCTGTTCATTATGAAGTTATGATGTTGCTGATTCACTGCAAAATAAAACTATTGAATAAAAGCAAATAAAATCTATAGGTAGCCAGTATAACAACCCAGTGAATATTGCTTAAGCATAACTATAAGTTATGTAGACCCTTCATCATGGGCGTAGCCAGGATTTTGATTGATTGCCCCCCCCCGGCTACACCCATGCCCTTCATAACTGAAATCCTGTGCATACTTATCCAGATGTAAGTTGTACTGAATACAGAACTTATTTGGTTATTTATTTGGTTTGAAAAAACTGATAATCTGCTTTTTGAGCTCATACTCCACAAAGTGGCTATCATTGTTAGGTAAAAATCCAATACAAAACGATTTACAAATATCCAGCAGAAAAATCCAATGCAAAATAAACAATAAAAACTAGCAGTAAAATTCAGCAGATCTCAGCATAGAAACCCTAGTTTATTTACAAGTAGACATGCATAAAACTGCACTGACAGGCTGCAGTCCTATATCTACTTACCACAAGTGAATTTGTTGTGAGCATGTATAGGATTGTATTGTTAAGTGCATGAAATGTCAAGGCCATATTATATATACAGAGAATAAATATTTAATGGAAAAAGCCTAACCATGTTTACTCAGAAGTAAGTTCTACTGAATTCAATAGGGCTTTCTGCCAGTTAAGTGGGTTAAGACTGCAGACTTGATCAAGAGGATTGGGAAGAGAGAACAGCAAACTGAATGCTAGTACAGTAATTTATTATGAATTACTGTAACAGAAACTAAGAAAAAGATGTGGGAGTTAAAGGTCTCCTTTGTCTTCCTAGGACTTCTTCACATATTACCGAATTCCAACAAAGAAAGCACTTTCATGTATTGCACAATGTAAGTCCAATACAGAACACCGTATGTGACAATTACACCTCAATGGTTGATTGCCCAATGCACACATACTGTGCAAAAAAGCAAACATATAAGATCATCCACACACAACTGACCTACACACAGGATTCATTTTATCTTTATTTTTTTACGACTTATTTTTCACATTGGAATTTTGTAACTTGTGAAATCATCCTAAAGATTATAGCACATATTTATTCCCCCTTGCCCCTACCCTGAGGTAACCTTTGCACTAGAAAAGCCATATACATGGTCACAAGTGTTCCCTTGTGAGCACATTGGACCGGGAGGTCAGGTGTGGTACATCTTGTCTATTCCCAACCCCTAGAAAAACTCCTCTCTCTGAAGGAAGGCACCTTGGGGCCCCCACCATGCTCCACTAGCCAGCTGGTGGCTTGACACTACTTTGACACTTCAGCATGTGGATTTGTGTCCTTAAAAATCTCTCTCGCGTGTGCGCACACACAGCCTGCCCAGGCTCACTTTGGCCCCCCAGCCCCTTCCTCATGCAGTCCCTCTCCTCAAAAACAGATTCCTGCCACAGCATACATGGCAAACTCTTCTTGGAAGAGAGCAACCCTATAGGGCAGGGTTCAAACCTGAGAAACAGAACTTGCCACCATATTTCCTTGTTCAATTTTCATGCATTCAAAATGAGTGTGTGTGTGTGTGTGTCCCCATTATTTTATGTTTTCAGCAAACACAATTTTTAAAGCAAAAATAACACACACGCACACACACATACACACACACACACACATACACACACACACACACATACACACGTATGTGTTTCCAAAACAACCCCACTAAGGTCCTTCAATCATAGGACATCCTCTTTCGATATATATATATACACACACTCCTCTTCCTTTGACAACACACACAGAAACACACAAACCCTGTTTCACCGCCAGCTTTCTGTAAGCAATTAAATTCCTCTTTACCCAGCCCTCCGGCCATTAAACAACCTACGGCCTTCCAAAGGGGCGACTGTTAATACACCGTTTTCCTGCGCGATCGACAGGTCCAAACTGCTTGGCCGCGAATGCCTTGATCGGACTGGGAGGGCCAGATGGGGGAAACGGCCAGTAATCGGCAATAGCTACCACAGAGCTGGATCTCCTCCTACGGGTCGCCACCCACCCTGGACCCCCGAGGACCCCCGATTCCCGCAGCACCCACCTGGTGGTGGTTGTAGGAGTTCCTCTGCTGCAGGAAAGCGGCTGCCGCCGCGGCCGCGGCCGCCTGGTGTTGGTGGTGCTGCTGCTGCAGCTGCGGGCTGACGGGCGAGCGCCGGTTCTGCTGCTGCTGCTGCTGCTGAGGTAAACTGATCTGAGGCGGCGGCGGCGCTGGCGAGAAGGGGCTTCCGAAAGGCCCCACCGAGGCGGCGTGGGTCGACACGGGCGAGAAGCTCTGGAAGAAAGCCGGGTTGAGGGACGACGGCATCCCGCCGCCGCCCGCCGCGTAGAAACTGCTGCCGCCCTCCGAAGACGACGACGACTCCGGGCTGGGCGGAGGAGCCATGGCGGCGGCTGAGGCGGCCGGAGGAGGCGGCTGCTGCGGCTGCTGGTGGCCCGGCGGCGGTTGCTGAGGCGGCGGCGGCGGCGAGGTCTGCACCGACCAGGGCGTGCCGAAGCTGGGCAGCGGCGGCGGCGGAGGGGAGGCCGCGGCTGCCGAGGAGGAGCCTCCGCCGTGAGGGCTGCCCAGCTCGGGGCTCTGCAGGCTGCTGAAGCCCGAGCCCAGCCCGCCGGGCAGGAGGCCCCCGGCGCTGCCCAGCAAGTGGCTGCTGCTGCTGCTGCTGCTGGGGGGAGACTCCATAGGGAGGAAGGCGAGAAGGGAGCGGGCGACGGCGCCGCTTCACCACCACCTGGCAGCCGCCGGGCGCCACATCGGGGTCGGCCGAGCGAGCGAGCCGAGGGACGCCGTGAGTCCGCTGGCGGCGGCGGCGGCGGCGGCGCTTGGGCTGCTGCGCTGTGAGGAGAAAGGGCGGCGCGGGCGAAGCGAGCCTTCGGGGCGGCTCAGCTCGCGAGGCGGCGGAGAGGCGGGAGGCCGCCGCGGGTTGACACGCAGCAGGCGACTCCCTCGTCCGGCTCGGGGTTTAAAGCCGGCCGGGGCGGAGAGAAGAGGAGAGCGGTGGGTGGGGGCCGCCGGCGCCGCCCGCTTCGCCCGGCGCTCCAGCCTCGCCTTCCCCGCGCTCAGCCCCGCCAGCGGCGCTCGCCCTCCCCTGACAAGCTGCTTCGGCTGCTCGGGGAAGCGGCGTCCGGGGCGGCGAGGAGGACCGAGGGCGACGCCTCCTCCCTCCGCCGAAGCGCTGCTGCTGCTGCTGCTTGCTCGGCGCTTTCCTTTTTCTCCCTCTCGGCAGAGTCCGGCTCTTTCAGTCAATGCAAAGGCTGCCCTTCTTCTTTTCTCCCCCTCCTCGCCGCTGCCCAGTTTTTATTTTGTTGGGGGGGGGCGAGCCAATCTTCCTTCCTGGCTTGCTTCGCCCCCAAAGTACCCAGCGATGGCGAAACCAGACCTTCCCTGCTCCTTCCTAAAAGAGGCTTCGGCAGCAAAATCATGTATTTGGGTTCTTGGGGGGGGGCAGGGGGCGGAGAGAAGTGGGGGGAGGGTTTTAACTAACAAAAACCTGTCCTGGACCAAAAAAAAAAAAGGGGGGGGGAGAACAACCACCGCCCTTCACGGAATAGAAATTGTCAAAGTTATTTAAAAAAAAAAGATTCAGTATATGTATATCTAGAAGCAGCCCTGTTTCTGACCGGGGTCCAACTCTATTGAATGGATTTCCTCACGTCACTAAAGTACTGGGGGGAAATCCCCCCGTGCTGAAAAATAGCCCCCGCTTTAAAGAAGACATTGAAAAAACCATTGAAAAAAACCCCTTCCGAAACCAGAGATTTCTTTCTCTCGGTATGTACATAAATACATATATCTGCCTATCTATCGATCTCATTTATCTGCATAAAAATTGAAGCGATCCCCGCCGCCCTCGATCTCGTGCTCTTAGCAGCTCCTGTCAAAGCCCCTCCATGGTCTACTGTCCTGCCCTACAAACGGCCTGCGCAAAAGAAAGGACTGGGAAGACACCCCCCCCCTCCCCAAAGGGCGGCCGCCTCTTTTCCCTGCACAGGATCCCCGCGTTTCGTTTCTTCCGCAGTCGGTCTGCCAGCCCCGCCTGAGCAGCGCCAGCCCCGCCGCAGCCGCCCGCATAAGAACCCGGAACTGCCGTCACGGCCGTCACGCATCACAATCCCGCCCCTCGCAAGTCTGTCAACGTCCCCGCCGCGCCCTCAGGCCCCGCCTCCTTTTGAATTATTCATACGCCGTCGGCTCGTGTCTCTCCGTGGCGTCTTCGACGTCGGTTATTCGGCGCTGGGGGGGGGAGCCGGACGAGAACAACGCGAGACATTTCATTAGGGGGGCTTTTCTTTTACAAAACATTCATTAACGCGGCCGGAGGGAAACGTTGGCTGACACGGTGGAAAGCGAATTTGGGTGTTTTACTTGGCTGCGTTGGGAAACAGCGTCTCCGCCCCGTCCTCTCTCCCTGCGTCCCCCAGGAAGCGCGGCGCAATCGGCTCTCCCAAGGAGCCTGACGTCACTCCAACGCCTCGTTCGCGTTGGACACGGTCCCGCCCACCACTCGCTTCGCAACGTCATCAGTCGCTTTTCGCAAGCTGCGGCAAGTGGCTCGCTTTGGTTTTGATTCAGTATATTTCTACGCCTCTTTTCATTGAAATGAATCCCAAAGTGGCTCACAAACAACTAATAACGACAACATGGTAGAACACAACAGAACATCACAAATGCATCATAGATCATATAAGATAATTAACGCATCATCAGTGAAACAAACATTTACAATCTAAAGAACACTTAAGGCAACAACTAAAACTAAGCATCACAATACAGCAAAAAGTCACGTTTTATTGATTGACAAATAAATACAGCATTTATAATCTATAAAGTAAAGCCCAGAGAGTGGGGGAGCAGGAACTAAGCTGGTGGGAACTAATCTGCTGGCTGGCAAGATGCAGATGCCTGCTCCTAATGTTTTATTATGTTTTTATATGTGCTGGAAGCTGCCCAGAGTGTCTGGGGCAACCCAGTCAGATGGTGGGGTACAAATTTAAAAAATAAAAATAAACAGCTATAAATATAGAAAGAAATGAAATCAAACAAACCTTGATTGATAGAACACACACACACACACACACACACACACACACACACACTATTAAAACCATACAAATAATTACAATAATAAAATAATAAAAGCAACAGGACGCTAGCCCTGTCATTGAAAGTAGTCAGTTCCCAAAAGCCTGTTGGAATCAGAAAGTCCTTCACTTGCAGGTGGAAGGATGGCAAGGAGGGAGGCAGTCTAGTTTCTCCAGAGAGGGAGTTCCATAGTTTTGGAGCAGCCACCACCGAGAAGGCCCTTGGTATCGGCTCCAGCCCTTTCTCATACAACCATTCTGTATCAAGTGGTGGAGTCTCTCCTGGAAGTTACATTTTTACATTGGTGAGACTGGTTGGAAAGCTTCAGCATGTTCCATACAAACATACATTTATCTGCCCAAGGTTGAGCATCTGAAAAACGGAAACATATCCCATTGTGGTCAGTTTGGGCTGGGGTGTGAGCCTCTCCACCACTACTGTGTGCCTGTTGCCTCTGTCCTCACCAGCTTTGGAGGAGACAAGGGAAGGGCAGCAGCCCCTGTACATAGCACACAGAAGTGCTCTTGCTAGCCTCATCTTGCCCAGTATCCCAGCATACTAGCACATGCATGAAAATGTGCAATTGTCAAATAGAAAGTATTTAAAAAATAGTTTTGAGGATAATTATCAGCATGACAGGCTTTCTCCCACTCTTGTCTAACAACTGCTTTGAAAAAATGGCAAAGCCGGCCAAATTTTTTCCACTTTGTTACTTTAAGGCATGATTATCATTGGTACATCAGAATTCTGAGGGAAACACAAAGGGATGTGATAGCTGGGCGTGACTGATGAACTGAAGGCCCTGCCTGATGCCCATTTTGAACGTGATGTTATGAGGAAGGAAGCAGGAAGTGTAGTTGGATTGTACTTCCTGTTCCATGTGCTTCTAAAATCCCTCTTCCAGGGCATGAGCGGAAATGCAAAAGCGCCAATGGTTGGAGCTATGAGCTGCTCTTATCTGGCCCATTAGCTGTTCAGTTAGCCCTTTCAGATTTCAATGGTTTTGCGATTATCTCCTTTTAATCCATCTTGAGAGAACCGTGAGGATCTTAAAGATGGTACCCAAGTCTCTGTTTGTTCCATTCTCCTTCTCTCATCTCCTCCCTCAAATTTGCCTTTCTCAATGCCAACAACAAAAGAAGAAGCAGTGCAAGCAGCTACTATTTCATTTAGAGGTTGCTGGCCAGTTCTGATCTCTGAAGGAATAGGATGGGAGAAACTAGAAGACTATAGCAATGGTCTTTTAATATATACAGTAATTTAAAATGAGGAAAAGAATCAAGACTTCTCTGTCATAAAAAACAATGTGTTTTTTTCTGGCAAGCTAATATGCAGCAGCACTTTGAATGATCTAGCAGCTTAGTACATAAACCACATTTCCCTCATTTTGCTGTACTGCAGATAAATTAGGATTCCTTCACTGCATGCTCCTTCGTATAGCTGTCAGACGTACTCCTCCAGCCCTGGCCAATTTATATGAAAATTGTGTTCCTCTAGACACTTTCTCAGGTCGTACCAAATAGTTATTTACAAAATATGAAGGCAGTTCACAAGTAAAACTGATTTATGCTTTTAAAACGGATTTTAAAGTCTTATACCTGGTATGAAGAATGTGTACCAGTGGGAAATTTGCAGAAGCTATCTGCTTGCCTCTTGGACATAGTGGATAAAGGTACATGAGTTTGGCTGTCCATATTTGCATGTAGTCCTATCGGTGCTTCCAAAAAATGAACACTTTCAAGCCACCTTTCCCTTTCACCAGCTCTGGCACCATTCTTGGATGCTGGAATGCATTTTACTTGATGCATCACAAGTTACGATTGCTATGATTTACAATGAACTGAAAAAAATGTTTAAGATAACCTTTGTGAAAAATCCAGAAGCTTTTTTGCTAGGCATTTCAGGTCAAGATTTGCCAAAAGAGAAGAAAAAAACTTTTCATGTGTGCTACAACTGCAGCTAGGATATTGCTAGTACAAAGATGGAAAAGTGTTGAAATACCAACTAAAGAAGAATGGCAAGGGAAACTGATGCAATAGAGATTTTAAGAAAGACTGGGAACCATTCATATCATACTTACAGAATCAATGTAAAGAAATGGAATCACTTGCATGGTTTGATTAAAAATGGTAAATGGACCCCTGACCATTAGGTCCAGTCGTGACTGACTCTGGGGTTGCGGTGCTCATCTCGCTTTATTGGCCGAGGGAGCCAGCGTACAGCTTCCGGGTCATGTGGCCAGCATGTCCAAGCCACTTCTGGCAAACCAGAGCAGCGCATGGAAACGCTGTTTACCTTCCCGCTGGAGATTCGGGGATTCGAACCACCGACCTTCTGATTGGCAAGTCCTAGGCTCTGTGGTTTAACCCACAGCGCCACCCGCGTCCCAAGGGTTTGATTAAACACTTGCAAATAAGAAAACAAATGTAGGAAATAGAATGACGATGTTAAAATGATAAGAGAAGAATAATGACTATTTAATTTTTTTTTAATAAGAAGAAATAACAAATAAGCAGGAGGAGATAATATGCCAAAAAACAAGAAGAGGAAGCTGAGGGAAGTCGTGGAGGGGAGGGGGAAATTGGGGAATGGTATTTTTG